TTTTTTTAAAGGGCTGTTTGCATTTCTGCAAACGTCAAAAAAATCTGGAATATGCTGACTCAACTCCTTCCCCTTGCCTTATATAGTTTTATATAGATGTTAAACAGAAGGAAAGTATATTTGAGCCCTGAGACACCCCACAAATGAGGGGTCATGGGCATGACTTCTCTCCCCCATCAACACTGACTGGAACCAACCACAGTGAAAGAAAATTCCCCACCCTCAAGCCACGGGCAATCCAGGATACCAACATCATCTTCAACTGTTGTCCAACCACCTTCTCAACAACCTTCCATAAAAAGGGAAGGTTGGAGCCTGGAAATAGTTATCCAGAATTGTTGGGTCCACCATTTCCTTCTTCAGAAGGAGCCACAGGTTTGCCTCTGCATGTCCTTCCCTCCACATACCTCACTAGAACAGAACATTATAGATTAGAGGATACCTTAGAGAAGTTCACCTCTATTAATCTCCAAGCAGGAAGTTCAATATCCACCAGGTTTCCTGTTTCTCATTTACTAGAATGGATATAACCCAGCTATTAATTTGGTAAGGAATATATTTACTTACCATGGTATCTAACCTGTAGTTCTCTGAGAACCCAATGCGACTCAGGTGAGTTTTGCCCTAATTTTATCCTCACCTTTCAGTTGGGCTAAGAGAGTGACCAACCCAAAGTCACTCACTGACCCTTAAACCTGGGTGTCCCTGATCCAAATCTGACCCTTAAGCACTGCAGGAGGAACTTTTGTGGATTTAAGAATGGGGTTACCTGATAGACTCTGGAGTTTGGACACTGCTCTACTACTTTGGGGGAATGGGCTTTAACCTAGCTTGATTTTTAAAAAAAACAACAGAATTTAATTATGGTTTAGAAGCACCCAATTTTTCCAGGCAAGGGAGCTTGGCTCTCTCTTACGTGCATACAGAATCTAAAAGATATGCTAATGGAAACCTGTTAAATGTCTCACTATGCAATCCTTGCTTTCACATATGCAAATATTATGCCAGGCTTCACAGTGTATTTAGAGAATTGGAATGAAATAATCCAGATTACTTCCCATTCCTAATCTTATTGTCAAACTAAGAAAAACATGGGATGATTTGCAACAGAAATATATCCACAGGTTTAACAACTGTAGTACTGTATGTAATGGCTTTTTAATGTTTCTCAGGCATTAGACATCACCAATGGAAAGCCATAGTAAACCCTGTGCCCTCTGAACTGTGCAATATTGAGAGATGGGAGCAGAAGAAAAGTTTCAGAGAGATAATAGGCATTCATATCTCTTGGTAAGAGAATATACTTGGTAATATATCCATGGGCTTACTTGTTATATTTTCTCTCCATTGGCAGGGCTTCTGTGTCTCCTACAATTGCAAAAAAGAGACATTCAGGAGGTAATCTTTTTCTGATGCATGCATAACCACCCTGAAAAAAAATAATACTAAACTCACTTTTAAAATTCCGGGGTCTGCTGGCGAACAATAGAAGAAGCTGCTGAAAACAAAGGCGGGAGATGCAAATTGTTACAGTGCATGTAATGAATAATAATTAATGACAATTATTACATTTCAGCCCTGAAAGCTTGAATGCATTTGAAGATTAGAGTAAAAATTAGCTGTTACTTGAATGGGCTGTTTGCATGCTGAAATTCATCCTTTCTAAACCAAGGTTGTTGGGTCTTGTTTTTTTTTTTTTCCTTCTCTCCCAAGATTTCTCTCACCTCTTCTACATCCTGGACTGTTTCCCCTTTTGGTTCCTCCCTTTTGGTTCCTCTTCCTCTCACCTCATTTCCCTCCTGTTTTCTTTTTCACTTTCTCTACTGTGGAGAACCTTTAACTGGTAGACCAGCCTTAGGCAAACTCACAAAAATTCAAGAACTTCTGGTGCATAGCTTTTATTGAAGAAAAGTTAGGAAGCTGTAACAAAAGAATTCTAGGGAGTGCTTCATTTCAAGAGCAGTCCCTATTTAGAGAATAAATAAATGATCCAATCCTGTTTCTCCTCACTTATTTCTCTTGACCACCCTATCTAACAGCTATCCTGTCCCTTCTTTGGGGTGGGAGGCTTCACTTTCCATCTGTCGTTTATTTTTCAATGGTCAAGTCTGCTACAGTATTCTGTTGTTGGGTTTTTTTCTGACTGTGAGAACTTTCACCCCTGGAAGAGTTTGGGGGAAATGTGTACAGTATATGCCTGGTTGTATGTTTTAAGTGGTAATCATGCAGGCAATTTTGATTGATAGTTATGAATTCAATTTGTTTGTCTGGGCCTTATCCTTTTTTGCATATGGCTTCTGACAAATAAATTATTAGGACTATCCAGTCAGAGCTGCAAAACTCCAGATGACCAGAAAATGCTAACTTTATCTCCCATCTAGTAGTTATCCAGATTTGGTAGTCCTATAGGAAGGAAGTATGTATGTGTGTATATGTGTATATAGATAATGATATAGATATAGGTTATAGATATATAGTCCTTGTTTAGCAACTGCCTTGTACAGCAACCATTCACAGTTACAACAGTGATGAAAAAGTAACTTTGTGGCCAATCCTCACATTTACAACCTTCATAGGTCTGTAAAGCAAGGGAAAGCTGAAGTAAGACCATAAGCACAGTTGTGGTTTCACTTAGCAACTGCTTCCCTTAACGACCAAGTTGCTGGTCCCAACTGTGGTCGCTATATGAGGACTACCTGTCCAGGAATGGGAAGTTAGCAGTCCTTAGGCCCAGAAGGTGACTGGGTTACTTTGGACCAATCACTCTGTCTCAGACCTAAACTGGGAAGTCAAAAAGCATCTATCTACCAACTAGGGTATAGTACAGAGACAGTGCTGGTCACACTTGTCAATGCCCTTTGGCAGAACTGGTACAGGATGTGGCATCCGTCCTTGGGCTCCTTGATCTCTCAGTGGTCTTCAATATGTCAACCATGATATCCTTCTGGACTGACTGCAAGACTAGGGACTGGGAGGCACTGTGTTGTAGTGGTTCACCTCCTTCCTTGGTGGTTGTTCCCAGGTAGTGTTGATGGGAGGTGAGAGATCGCATCTGCAGCCCCTCACTTGTGGAGTTCTCAGAGCTCAATGATCTTGTTTAACATCTACTGTGCATTGGGTAAGATTACCCATCAGTTCAGATACCCAGCTCTACATCTCGACCCCCAGGTAAAGCTGTCAACGTACTAGCCCAGTGCCTGGAAGCTGTTCAGGTCTGGACATTTTCACTGTTGGTCTTCCATGAGGTTGCACTTCCCCATTCGAGACTGGCGTGCAACTTGGAGGTCCTTCTGGACTTGAAGCTACTGATCAAGGAGCAGGTGGAAGCTGTGTCTAGGAGGGCCTTTGCACAGGTACATATTGTGCATCAATTCTGCCTTTTCTTTAACCAGGAGGTGGTCACTTGGTCACTCATGTTCTAGTTATCTCACGACTGGACTATTGCAATGTGCTCTACATGGGGCTACCCTTGAAGATCATCCAGAAGCTACCGCTGGTTCAAAATGCAGTGGCATGAGCAGTAATGGGCACTTCTCTTTATGCCCAAGTGTCATTGCTATAAAATCCTTAATGGCAGATGACCTGGTTAACTGAGGGACCACCTGTCTTCAGTAGTTTCTGCCCATCCGGTATGTTCAGGCAGAGTGGATGTATTCCAGATCCCTTCAATTAAACATTGTCATCTTGTGGGACTGAGGAAGCGTGCCTTCTCTGTCACTGCTCCAGCCCTCTGGGACAGCATCCCACCCGGTGCCTCAAACTTGTCAGATTGAAATTTGTTAGAATTGGAATGTAGAGATCACTTTCTGGGTAGTCTCATAAAACAACCACTTAAGTGACTATGACCAGTAATGAACCCCCAAAACTGCTGACATTGTTCCCACCTTTGTCTCCAGCCTCCTGGGATCTTTTCTAGCTCCCAATTTCTGGGCAGGGGAGCAAATTTCCCCACAGAGAACAAGGGTGCAATCTCCAATTATTTTAATTTTCTGACAATGATTCTAGACCTAGAACGCGTCTGTTCCTAATGAGGTCAGATTAGTGACACATGCCTTAGTGATATGCAGTTTGGATTATTGCAATGTGCTGTACTTAAGGCTACTGTAAAGAGACTTTGGAAACAGCAACTAGTCCGCAATACAGTTCTGAGATCCTTGGTGGCCGCTTGTGGGCAGGTACGCTGCCCTGGTTCACACCAGATGTGTGAATTAAATCCCAAGGAAGAAAACAGAACATCTGTTGGGCTCTTTCAGAATGGGAAGTATAAGCAGCCAAGGAAGCTTCTGAGTGAACAGAAAGTATGTAACCCTATTTATTTTATTGTTCTGTTCTGTTCTGTTCTGTTCTGTTCTGTTCATTTACAGCAGTGTTGTCCAAACTTGGCCACTTTAAGATGAGTGGACTCTGCTGTACGGCC